GGTGCAGCTGCAGACGCGGCGGGTGCGTCGAGCGCGCCGCTGGAATGGTCAGTATGGGAGCGAGGTATGGGCGGAGGCTCCCCTGTTGTGTGGTCAGTATGGGAGCCAGGTATGAGCCGCCGCAGGACTCCCCTGTTGTGTGTTGATGTTACCCGCCGCAGCGGGCTGATCCTATTCGTGCCAAAGACAGTTGTTCTGTGCAGTGGTCCGTTTGAGAGCGTGTGTGCGTGTGCGGCCTCCATAAGGAGCTCACCATTCCCGTGCTACTTGGCGTTGTGCGTGCGTGGTGTATGTGTGCTTAATGTACAAAGTAATCCAGAATACTACGGTACAACCCTGACACTGCGTCTGGATGGACGGTGCGGGGGAGAACTGGGGTCAGTTGGCGCTTGGGGAGGGTCACAGGCGGGCTGAGCGTGCTGAACCAGATGCCGCAGTCAGGGGGAGGCGGTTGGATACGATTGAACTAAAGGCTGGGCGACTCGAGCATCGTAGTGACACCGATGAATTAGGAGCCTTTGATCTGATTGAGAATTGAGCCGTTCAAAAATTTAAAGCGGCCATAACCCGACTGATTGGCCGATTGTAGAAAAAATCATGTTCGCTGCTCAGGCCACACCACTGGAAACCGTTTTGTATACACCTTTATTACCATCTTAACAAGCTGTTCACGCTTCCCGCGGCGATTCTTTTGGACACAACTCCCGTTCAAAATAAGATCCCAATAGCAGCACACCGGTCACCGGCGTGGCGCTCCGCACGGAGATACATCCCAGATCACATCCGCTCCTCACCGGGCCGCGAGGCGTCCTCGGGTACCCGGCCGGTGTTATTCTCAGACGCCCACCGCCCACCGTACTCTCCCAGTGGCACCTCATTCCGAGCGCCGGCAGCGGTGCGGCAGGGTCGGGCGAGACGGAACTGAGGCACTGCCGAGAAACACGTTTCGGAGAATGTATGATGGGTATCACCGAATCGGCGCCGCCAGATATACTCTGCTATAACGCCGTCACACACGTCAGCACGCGACACCGGCCACTCTGAATGTGAACTATGACATCATCGCACGGCAGTGCCTGACGTCATCAACCAGCCTCAGGATGGGATGTATTGACATCCTCGTTAACCAGCCGTTAAGGAGGCTGGCTCACCACAACCAGTCGCCAGTCAGTCTTCGTCGTCACAGGCTGCAATGTGTGACGTTATATCCCACACCATGACGTCACCGATCCGCATCGTGTGATGTGACGTCACATTCCGCATCATGTGACGTCACCAGTCCTTCAGATGGCAGTTGTTGCGGAGTCTTAGAGTGTCTTGGTGCCGGCGTCGCCCGGCATGCTGCCCGCCTGACCTTTGCCCAGGTTGACCTCGTTCAGGCACACCCACTTGCCCTCCAGAGTCTCCTTCCACAGGCTCGCCTGAGGACAAAGAGACCGCGGGTCAGAGCACTGGGGACTGAGGGGGCGCCAGCTGAGACCACTGGGGACCGAGAGAACGAGTCAGAGCAATGTGGACCGAAAGAACGAGTTATAGCACTGCAGATGGAGAACATGGGTCAGGACAACGCGGAAATAGGGGACACGGGTCAGAGCACTGGACGGGCGGAACGGATGTAAATTGTAACTACTATAGACCGGTAAGAGTACAGGCTATCTGCGATCGTTCAATACATGCATCACACATGCTCATGAAAGCAATAAAGTGCAATCGCGAGCTCCCTCCCAGCCCGCTCCTCTCCCAGATCCACCAGTGTCCGGACGGACGGCCCCCGCCCCACCACCCGTCGGTAACCTAGCCGCAAACACCCCCACCCGGCCGTCGGTACCTTGTTCGGTACCGTCGGTACCCCTGGCCCGCTGTCCGTCGGTCCGTACCTTGTTGTCGCCGCCGCTGACGGCCAGGATGTTGCCGGTGACGGCCCAGCTGACGTGCCAGATGACGTCGCTGAAGGTGGGCAGCTCGTGCGGCGTCCAGGCCGTGCCCGTGCCGTCGTTGGACCAGATGATGACGCGCCGGTCCTGCGAGCAGCTGGCGATCAGCTGCCGTTTGAGGCCCACCGAGGGCGCCCAGGCCACGTCGCGCACCCAGTCCGAGTGGGCGTCCAGCTTGGCCTCTTCCACCCACTGGTCGTCCTCCTCCCTGGCAGAGAGCGGACACACAGATCGGTCAGCACGCCCTGTGCTTCAGCTGCGCCAATACATCGGCCAATGGGCGACAGGCCCTCGGCCGTGCTTAGATGGAAATGAAAGAGAACGCATGGCTCTGTTGACCGCTCTAAACAGTGCTGTTGTATGTTCTAAAATAAGGAATTTTAGGTGAAAAAAGCGAAATCTCACTTAGGCTTGTGCACATCTAGCATTCGGGAACATGAACGAATCGTACCTCCAGATTTTGACGAGGTTGTCGCAGCCGCCGGAGACGAATCGTTTGGTGACCTTCTGCGGCTGGCCTTCAAGGACGCTGCCGGCCGACACCTCGGGCGCCCAGCTGACCGCGTTACAGCCGATCTGAGGGGTGGAGCGGGTGAGCGGTCAGTCTACAGTGGCGGCAGCGCTCGACGGCGGGTCGGCCGCTTTCGACCGCACCATGTCAGGGAACCTCATTTATCGGATATGTTACACCAATCAGTAGAATTATTCGATAACTCTCCGGTACGTTGCAAGGCATCCTCCAATGGCAAGGTAACGCCCCTAGGCACACAAAAACTTGTTGACTGGGAAGACATTCACAAAAATGCGTGACAAGTGTCATGTGCAACATTATCTGTCAATCACGGAATCGTGAGCTTGGCAGTGGGAAGCTGATAACGAATGCAAATATCAGGACGAACCTGATTGGATTGAGAAGGCTGACTCCTCCCAGCACTCGTAGTGAAAGGAATTGAGGATCTCTGAAACCAGGATCGACCGTTTTCAGGCAGGATGTGCCAACGGAGAGACAGCGCACGAGCAGAGCTGATATCAACCTCCATAGAGCACATGCTTACTAAACTTATTCAAATAATGGCTTATTGCGTTTCCAGTGTCCCGCCTCAAATACCCTCAGACCTCTAGCCATCTACTTGTTCCTCCTCCCCCCCCCCTGCAATCTATTCGAGACACACCGTGTGGGCGTTGTTGATCTTCTTGAAGTCCCAGGTGCCGGCGGCCGTGTAGGAGACGACGGACACGGAGCCGTCCGAGCTGCAGCAGACCAGCACCAGGCCCAGCTCGTACGGAGCCCAGCACACAGAGTTCACCGACGAGTCGTGGCTGGCGTGCTCGTGCAGCTTGCTCCAGCGGCCACCCGTCTCCTTCCAGATGATGACGCGGCGGTCGTAGGAGCACGACGCAAGAATCGGCCCGTACATGGGGTGCGCCCAGGCCACCTGCCATACCTGGCGGCCCGGACAGACGGATAGATGGTCAGAGGGCTGTCGTAAGACGCCGACAGCCGCGGGTCAGGGGTGTCACACCGGAGTAAGTACAATATCGCCGCCATTTGGGAGCACCCTTGAGTCGCGTTTCCAACCTCTAAATCATCCCCACACTTCACGGCTCTGCATCTACCCATTCACACTGACGCCCCACCCCACTGACCGGTTCCTGGCTCCCTGGTGCCAGCCACTGACCGGTCCCCGGTACCGCCGCGCGCCACTGACAGGCCCTGGTGCCACCCCGTGCCACTGACCGGTCCCTGGTGCCACCCCGTGCCACTGACCGGTCCCTGGTGCCACCCCGTGCCACTGACCGGCCCCTGGTGCCCGCCACTGACCACTGACCAGCCCCTGGTGCCACCCCGTGCCACTGACCGGTCCCTGGTGCCACCCCGTGCCACTGACCGGCCCCTGGTGCCCGCCACTGACCACTGACCGGCCCCTGGTGCCACCCCGTGCCACTGACCGGTCCCTGGTGCTCGCGCAGCTCGGCCTCAAGCGTCTGACTGCCGTTCCGCACGCTGAACACGCGCACTGTGGCGTCCGATGAGCACGTGGCCAGACGCGTGCCGTAGAAGTCGATCTGCGCGTCATGCTGAGGAGGTACGATGTTTGTTGGTCAACGAGGCAACACTCGCAGCAGCAGGTGATACAGGTATTTGACGGAAAATTGAAATATAAATACATCTGAATTTGTGGATTACCTCGTTAGTCGTTACTATTCAATCAAACGCTAACGACAGCGATTGTAACAGAGCGTTTAGAAACCAGTAGACTTATTGCAGCACATAAAGCTAGCGTAAAGTTCAGTTCCTTTCTACTTACAATCATGTCTTCATGCCCGGTGTCAACGGTACTGATGAGAGACACCTGGAAAACAAAGCCATGTGTCATTTTTGTCCAAGCGCATTCACACAACCACTACACTTCAACTTCACCGAGCTCACATATGGAGACTGCCGAGGTCAGTTTAGGTCAGGTCAGATTAGATCTTTTTTTAGCGTGAGTACCTACCACTTGTCTTCATTTACTCCTTACGTACTTAATCGTTTCCGTACTTTTGCGTACAGCGTACCCACTTTTGTCGTGCATACTTCTTGCGATACGTCCTCTGTCACATGTTAGCGAATCGCAGTGCAGACCTTCTTGCATCAAAATACCTAATTATAGTTGGATAAAATCGACCAACTATTTTCGTAGTCAGCAAACCTTTGATCGTAAATCCTTTTGCACCAGCTCATTAGGTAAACCTGCAGGTGTTTGGTGAAACACATGGGTAAATGTCACGGTACAGTCCAGGGAGTGGGAGCCCGGTGCAATGAATCTCAGCAGAGTTCAGTGATCTCAGCATGCGTATATTCGAATCCAGTATGAGTAGAGCAATACGCTCTCAGCATTCGTGCAAGAGGCCTCCCCCAGCATAGGTGGCGCTTCACAACACATGAGGAAAATCGCGAGGTAGATGGCGTTAGGAGGCGGAGTAAAGGACTCGTTAGCTAGTCGCGTTTCGGCATATAATATTGTTTTTAAGCATGCCATTCGATAACATGATTAATTTTCAGGTTATTTTTTAAAGGAAATATAGCCAAGCGGAGCTGCTTCATAAAACAGCGGCACCAACAAGAACAAGTATCAATCTTATCACTCTTGCCCACCACTATCATTGACCATGTATACATATATGGCGCTTTAGAGACAAGGACAATAGTTGAAGAAGTGAAAAACTTGGCCCTTGCGTTGGCCGTTCTTTTCTGCCGGAGACAAAAGGAATATTACAAACTTTCGGGTTCAATTTTGTGCAATTTTAGAATATTAATTAACATGGGAAGAAGCAAAGCAGCACTTGCCATACGGTTTGGCTACCACGGTTGTGCGAATCGACCATTCTTCCACATTCAGCTTCAGAAGGTAGGTTGGCAAATTGATCAGTAAACATCAACATCTTGCATCGATTGAAAAATTGAAATCAATGTCTGAAAGCATTAATTAATTTAAGTCTCTAATGTGCAATCAATTTTCCATAGCTGTGTGGCGCCTTCTATTCTTTATGCAACTCCAAGTCAAGTATTTCGCATAACAATAACAATGCTGTTGAAAGCTAACAGTAATGCCACTCACAGGATATGTGAATGAGGTCTAATTTGAATTGGAAATAAATGTTCTTTTTTGCTGTACACAGCTTATGTTTTGCAAATCTTAGGCGGACTTGTTAACAACTGGATACCATCAGCTGGCTGGCCGGCTGGCAACGTATGATAGACATATAAATATAACCATGGTACTAGATGGACATAGACACAAAAATGGCACTACAACTAAAAGAGAAACTAAAAGAGAAATTAATGGATAGACATTTAGTCTTTCATATTTAGCATTGCTATATACGAAGCTCTGCTAGCACCATCATACGGCGCCAGCTGGCAAATAATCTAGTTAATAGTAGGTATGGCCCATCCGAGGGACTTACATATTAACAGTTTTAACGTGATGTTCATTTGTTCATAAATTGATCATCAGACCTTAACTTTCATTTTGATATAGCACACTGACACTGCTTTTGATGACTAAGCTTTTTATTTTGTGCCTCATCTATCTTGTATATTAAATCTCAGTAGGCGGAACTATGGTCATGAGTACCCAAATATAGGAACGTTCCCATTTTTGGGAACGGAGTTCCCAAATATGGGAACGGGCGTTCCCATTTATGAGAACGGAAGGCAATTTTTCGGCCGTTCTCCCACTAAAACTCAAAAGTGCATCACGTCTCAAAAAAGTGCACGCTGATTTAAGTATCTACTAAATCTCCATAAAGTTATCTTTAATCTGACCGTGGAACAAGGAAATTGACCGTGGAATGATATTTTTAATGATTTTTTGAAAATGACAGAATGGTGGAAATATGGGTTATACGACATTTAACATGCAATTTTAAGGAAAATGAAGCATATTTTAGTTTGAGGTAAAGTATAATAATTTTCGCCTGGTTATGAACTTTCATACTATCGACACCAGATGCTGACAAATGCAAGCGAAGACGCGGACGGTCCCGAGGTAATATTGTTGACTTTTGTGTCGGGGCGGACGACCGCGTGGAACGTAAGTGAATTTACCGAGCTACTGTTGTAAACTCAGTTTAAGCGGTTGAAAATTATCCAGCTGTATTTTATCATCCCGGAAAGACATATTTTATTTGGATGCTAGCTGTTTAGAGTTGTTTTATAAGGAGCGTCGTGAGCGTGGTTTTTGTCTTCCGTGTTTCTAAGCGTGATCGTTTTGGGGGAATTTCTCTTATATAGCTCGCTCTGTGTGGCTTATTTATAATTTTTATGCTGATTTCGATAATTCCTCGTGCCCATCCTACCAGGCCTTTTGCCACTTACACTCATCAAGAAAGGAAAAAACTAGATTTTCATTGGGACTAGGTGTTTTGAGGGTGTAACATATTCAGCGTTCCCATTTTTGGATACTTCCTTGCACTCGTCAACTATCGGTGATAAACAGACAGGTGCTTGACATGTCTCCACCCTCAGCGCGGACGGTGGATATAGGTATGGAAGACCTTGTTGAACATCGCTGAGCGTTGTGAATTACGTAATCCTGCAGAGGGGGGCGTGCCCGCTGCGAGATCGACGGGAATAAAAACGCAGAAGACTGGGCGAAACATGCGACGGTCTTGCCGGAAAGGTCATCTGATGATTGTTGCGTTAACAATAATTTGCGGCGTTGGACGTGATGCTTGTTAATGAAAAGAGCCCCTGAAAGGCGTCGGTGAAATCGTTCCCAATTTTGGGTACGCCGTTCCCATAATAAGGAACGCTTGCAGCGCCAGTGTACGAGAGCGTTCCCAAATTTGGGCTCGCGGCCCGGATGATGGACTGCTTTAGAAATAGAGGAACGATTTGAAACTACGATGGGCCTTACAATATCAAACTCTTTCCCAACAATATTGAGACAAATATCAGGCGGTTCACGATCGTTTTATATTTTTTTGACGTCATTTAACGGTTCTTTTTCTTGTTTTAAATAATGCCTACATGGCGTTCCCATATTTGGGTTTATCGTTCCCAAACATGGGAACGAAAATGCGTTCCCGAAAATGGGTACGCTTGACCATAGTTCCGCCTACTGATCTAAGGATCATAATTGTAGTGACTGCAAGTTAAAACATCCAGAGGCATAGTACCCATAGGCGGCGGAACGGGGAGGGCACCGGGGCACCGTGCCCCCCTTTGATTTTGGCTTTTTAACATTAGCCCTATGGGCTTTGCATGGAAAGAATGGGACCAAAAGTTGGCAGTGCCCCCTCTTAATTGAAGGTATTCCGCCGCTACTGATAGTACCTTCTTATGCATTGATTCATAAATGCTCAGCGCCACTAGATCCTGTGGGAGAACAGCTTCCTACTTTCCTGCAGTGCAACAGTTGATAAATAATCTTTAAATAAGCTGTGAACCAGCCTTAACTGACTGTAATAAATATAACTGGCACCCAAATCTATATAGCCAGCACCTCCCACTCATTAGACATCCACACAAAATCATTTTAGAACTTTCTGAAGACACTGCATACCCTCAAATAATTGTGATGCATCAGTATCATCTGAACAAAAATTATCTTTCGAATCTGCCTTTATATTTTCCTTAGCCTTATGGGGTATCAACACTAGGTCAGTTCCCCAATGTGACAGTGTTTCCCGGACTGTTCACAGAAGCGTCAGGACCGCGCCGGGCCTGTGATTGAGCAGCTCGGCGTGTACGATCCGATGCCCAACATCAACAACGAGCGCCTCGTGTCCATCAACTTCGACCGCGTGCGCCACTGGCTCGGTCAGAACAAGACGGTCGAGATCACGCCTGCCGTGCAACAGCTATTCGGTGAGAGCCCGGTCGGGGAGTCGCGGTCGCAGCCACGAAACAAATGAAACATGAAAACTGCATTATGGAAGAATGAAGATACCGTTACATCTTGATGCTTTAGATTAGCCGTCAAACATTTCAAACACTGGTATCACGAACGCAGCTAACTTGTGTTTCCGTTGCAGGGCTCGTCGGTTTCTTCCCGGTCCACCCCAGATCCTACATACAGGCGTGGAGAAACAGGCGTGAACAAGAAACGGCAAAACAAGAAGCAGAAAGCGGAGAGGTGAAAGGCTGAACATTTTCATTTGATAACAGCCATTGGGTACTTGTGTAGTGAACTGTCATCTATTGAAATGTTAAATGACCAAATATATCTTGTGATTGAAACTCATTCCATTTCCGTTCAAAACGCATAATTTTTACCTCTTTGTGCCATTCTTGCACACGCACAGCTCTTAACAAGCCAAAATACAAACGGACCATAAGCTGACACTTCCTTCTCATTTAACAACAGTATCAACAGTCTAGTGCAATAATTACTGGCTATCTACATTTGATTTGCTTCCCCCTCCCCCCCCCCAAAAAAAAACACACACACACACACAAACCTGCTTACAGAAGTGTTTTTGGGTCCTTAGAAAAGCATTAAATCGCATAACACATGCTAGCTTAACATCAACAACTATTGTGCACTGGCCCCTAGAAAGGCCTCTAAAGACTTTTTACAAAACTCAAGACTCAAAAGACTTTTTGGGTATCATATAAGTGTTACCTTGAACCATACAATAAGTGCAATGACACATTCCTTTGAGTCACCTAATTTCATTACGGAGCGAGCGAAGCGAGCGGAGTCTTTCCTTAGATTAACGGAAATTTCTGAGTATGAGCGGCCGGCCGGCCGTGCGGACGCTTTTGCGAGGCTTATATCTCAGCAACCACTTGACCGATTTACATGCGGTAGGTAATTTTTGTAGGGTAGGTAGCTTCATTCCTTCTACCAAGTATTGGACTATTCCCAATGCATGTGGGTGACCCCTTATGCACGTGCCATGTGCAAAACGAAGAGGTGTCAGTTTTGCAATTGTTGCAATATCTCGGTAACTACTTAGCCGATTGCGCTTAAAGTTGGCATGTAGGTAGGCACCCACTAGGCACGGCATATCCATGTGCCAGAGTTGGGGTGCTGCTGCACGTGCGCACGTGCAGGAGTCGTTTCCAAATCTCGAGAACGGCTCGACCGATTGCGCTCAAATTTGGTACACAGTTAGGGACCGGTTAGTAGGGTGCCGTGCACAAGTCAGTTGGACCCATTTGCACGTGCGCACGTGCAGGGTGCCGCTTCCAGATCTCGAGAACGGCTGGGCCGATTGTGCCCAAATTTGGCACATCGCTAGAGACCGGTTAGTAGGGTGCCGTGCACAAGTCAGTTGGAGGTACCCCCTCGAAATTCCGCACGTGCAAGGCTCACCCTCTCGCTCGCTCCGTTAGTCGCCCCAAAAGGCGTTATACCGGTTAGGTACAGTCCACAGCAGAAGTAATGTGGGGTTTCAGTAATGGGTATGTTCTGCTTCTGAAGCTTAGGAACGATTAGCCAGACTACAATGAAACTTTGAATGTAGCTTATGTGTATCGTCACCCTTGCAGCTGCAACTTTAGCTATTGACATCTTCTTTTCGATCACTCTGCATTAAACAAACGCCAGTCAAAGCCAACCGTTGACATTGGTAAAACCCTACATTACTTTAGCGGTGGGCTGTACCTACTTAATTCTACTCGTATCAGTTATAGTCGATAACAAAATAGCCCAAAACCTGTGGAAATCAATATCAGGCGTCTACGTAATGATGCTGCTGGATACATACCGGTGTATGAAGCAAACACCAACTATCATACATCACTTGGTAAGAAAAATAACACTACAGACCACAACATTTATATTTCATCCCAAAGGTAACTTACCATTGTTGCTTATATTGAAGTGTAGGTCCAGCTATCTTGAAATGTTCTATTTCTTCAGAATCTGTAACCAGCCTTGATATCAGGTATGAGGTACACTGTAAACAATGTACACAAGGTATGCTTAACTGAGACGGCAATACCAGAAGATAAGCGTTGTTATGTATACTTAAAATCAACATTAACTTTGATTAGACTTTGAACATGGCACAATCCTTTAGCACTGGTTAATTGGGTACTTACTACTTTCATCAAACTAGTTTGGCTGCTGGTTTAACATTTTATCTTATCCTTATTACCTAAAAAGGAACAGTTGATCCAATTTACAAGGACCACAGACACAGACATCCTGAAATTCATTGAAGTAAAGTAACCATATGGAAAGCCGGTAATTTCTCACCAATATTTCATGTTGATTTACATGCCCAAAATTATATGACATTGATGGGCAAATTTTGCTGACACCAATCTTCATTAGTTATGATTTTATGTAAAACTTCTGCATTGGGTCAAATTGAGGCTATGACGTGCCAGATTAGGTTTGGCCAGGTTAAGTTAAGTAATGCTAAGATTATTTCATTTATTCTGGTTGATAACAATCATGCAAAGAATTATCCAGATAAACATTTGTCCAGGAATCGTAATATCAAGACCGTAGTTTCGTGCAACTTTGACCACAAAGGGCAACTTTGGCCCACTCCTGGAAAACTTATTTGTTTCGCTGTAAGGTATTACACTGAAGGGAAAGTGGGGTAAGCCAGTCAGGGTAGGCTTCCCTGACCGTTTCACCCACTTTCCCTAAGTGTAAAAAGTTATGGGCAAAATAAATTAGTTTTCCAGGCGTGGGCCAAAGTTGCCCTTGACCAGTCTGCAAACTATGGCAATTTCGACGAGATCTCGACGGTGGGGGCTTGTTCGGCTAGTGCGGAATTGGTGCGGTGCGGAAAGTTGATTTTGGCTTGGTGCGGTGTGTATTTAGTGTAGTGCTGTGCGGAATTGGCTTAGTGACTGACATGACAGACCATACGAGATAGATTAAGAAAATTGAAGAAAAAAACATTGTTGGAGCTTCGACGTGTACTTCAGTGTGCTCTCGGGTCTATTTGAGTGTGCGGTGGTCAGAACGGACTGTGCCAGCACTGGTGGTCCCATCAATCACGTGGGTCGCTCGCAAGTTCGCACTCTTCACTTTGTTACAACACGAAACGCACCACTCGGCTCTGAGAGGCGCCGGCGGTAGAGTGAGAGAGATGAGCAGGGCGATGGGACTGGGAGGGACTCGGAGATGTGCACGGCCGATGGCATGGCTACATCACCGCTCCACCGCTTCATAGGGTCCATGCGAATGATGTATCAGGTATGCTCCGTGTTCGACGCAGCTAATAAGTTGCATCGAAAGAATCTAAGGTTGTTGCATTCCGCAGCATTCGTAAACGAGATGCGCTCGGCTCATGTGAGAGTTTGGCATTGTCCCTCGGTGGTAGGGCGAAATGCACATGGCTGATGGCACTATCAGGCCTTGAGGACCACCACTTTGCCGCGGCTAAGTGGTCAAATCCACTGTGAATGACTTGCCAATCAGATTTGTTGTACGATACAAATGTTGACCCAACGAAAGACGCCGAAAATGTATTCATGAGATGATTCCATGTTTAGCCATTAATATCTTTATTTTTATAACTGGGTATATGTTGCCTGTCCCGTAGCTCAGTAATTGGTAGAGCATTGGACTCCCGGTAGTGAGAGCCCGGGTTCGAGACGCTCCGGCGCTCGATATTTGAGACTCCTGACGGGATGGTCTGTGGTTGGTGGGAGTAGCCGCAGCCAGTTGAAGTCAGTTGAGACTTGAGTGGGACAGGCCGTGTCCGGCTTTGAAGGGCACGTTAAACTTTGGCATATAAATTCTCCCGATACCCGGAATTGCGCGATCGGATGGTAGGGGTCGGGGTCTACACAAGAAGCTCTGCTTAGCGTGGGCTCCGGCTCTGTCAATCCGTTCATTCAAACATTCGAGCTAAATTTATCAGAAAAAATGTTGTCAAGCCATTTAGCTACATGGTGTTGTCACTAAATGGGGCCATCATGGTACATCGCACGATAATCACCTTGAAAGAATCATCAGGGGCGGGTACTGAATGAAGTTCTTGTATCAGTATTGGTATGGCAATGCTTTTTGTTTGAATTATGTGGTACATAGGTATTTCTCATTTTGTTTCCATAGAACCGAGAGGGCAGGCTTGCGGCTCATGTCACTAATTGAGGTCAGTGCACATGTTAACTGGTAATTTTTTGGTATGGTGCAGTTTATGTATTCTTTGAAGGTTTTGGTGCGGCTTATCTGGTTCTGGTTCTTTCTGAAGGGTTGGTGCGGATTTTGAACTTGGGCCAGTGCGCCTCATCAACCTATGAACCATACTTTGCAGTATGGGCCCTTGGTGGTCAGAGTAGCACGAAACTACAGCATCAATAGAACATGATGCATGACATGTCAACATGTTATGCATCATGATGTGTCTGATGCATGCATCAACTTGTTCCCATATCAATATTAGCATGCCATTTTGAACGTCTGAAACGACGGCAACGGAAAAAAAAACATTCAGTACTAATTAGACTTACCTGAATAAATGGGCGTAACCCGAACCCAAGCATTCAAACCGAAAAATCTAGCCAATATTTGGACCTATTGCTTTATCAGCCGGTGGCCTGTGATGATAAACGGACTCGTGGCTAGTGTTTTTGTAAATGCGGCAAAATATCGCGCCAAAAGTGTATAGGTCGGTTTTAGTTCCACGTAGCGAGGAAAAATATAAAAATATTTTGATTTTTAATTGATACTTCTCCACAAAATTTGTTAAAGTGCCAGATAAAAAATTAAAAATGTTGCGTTTGGCTACTGATAAATAAATCATCAAGCTTTGGAGGGCATCACTTATATACACTGTGGGCATCACGTGGTGTCCAATCGAAATATTGCGTAATAATTCGCTCGAATTCTGTAGCCAGCTGACATCTTTGGACGAATGCGCTACCACTTATTTATGCATTACGGGTACCCCTATTGTTTGTGTACTCGTCACTCAGCTGTGTTGGTGTGGATTTGTGCGGGGATTAATTGATGAACTTATATAGTCTTGAATTGATGTGCTTAGGAATTGCTTAGGAAGAACTTGGGCTTAAAATTATTGAAGTTGTGTATACCTTTCTGGCTCCTACATGTTCACACTGGGTAATATCGGCTTTCATTTTTGTTTTGGCACTCATGTGCAAGGCTGTACGTGTTATATGCCAGTGATTGGTGTAAAGTCGAACTCTTCCTCAGCTGAAAGTCAGAGTCCATGCCTATGCTAATTGCTATTAGCTATTGTTTGCTTTGTCCACAAGTGTCTGACTGGATATTTTTTGTGCACGAGTTTTCATTTTTCAAACAGTTCTCATGAGCTGAACCATTAAGTCATTAGATATTAAACCAACTTTTCTTGACAAATCAAATTTGTCAAATTTGATTCATTTTTTGAAATGCAAAAGGGTATTTCAAAAAATGAAATACCCTTTTGGTTTGTGACTCGTGTTCCATCATCTGCTAATTAATTTTCTTTTTCCTTCAGGCATTTTGTAATTGCTAATAATGTCTATGTTCAAGTCAGCCTTAAATTATTTCAATGATTCAAGTACAGTGCAAAACAATGAATTTGTTGGGCAAGTCGTGGAACTTGGGAACGCCAAGATGCGTGTTAAGAAGCAGATTGGAGAAGGTAAGTGGGAGACTTACCTTCATGCTTAGACATCTGTTGAGGTGTCCATTTACCACCTGCTGTGCTGTGCATTTTATGTACAGCTTTTAGGAAAGGCAGACTCCTGGCCTTGGTCTTAATCAATGTGTTTTACATGAATCTTGAATGGCTATGCTATTTAACTTTTGACAATTAGTAGACTGTGATATGCCTTTCATGATAACTGAAATTGCCTGTTTAAATTCCAAATGATCTGATACATGTTGCAACTTCTTTTCACATTTTCATTTCAGGTGGATTTGCTTTTGTTTATGTCGCTCAAGAAGTAACCAGTGGGAAATATTTTGCCCTGAAGCGCCTGCTCAGCTCTGATGCTGATGTAGACAAGGTTATAAGACAAGAGATTGGGTTACTTGTATCCTTGTGAGTGTTGACAGTATAAGCAAATTTAGGCCTTTAAGTGGTTGGTTGCAGTTGTATGTTTTCATTGATGTTCAGTTATTTTGATCAGATCAGATTCAGTTACTTTCGTCAGTGATTAAGTAATGTCCTGGCTCAGCATGTGTAGGTAAAATGTCAAATGTCATCAGGTAGCTTTTCTGTTTTCAACATCATAAATGGACAAGAACTTGATGAGTGGTCTAGTTACTCAGCTTCTGAGTGCTAAGTGGGTAGCTAGACCAATGTGAAATAAGTTTTAAGAATGATTGAGTGAACAGTTTGCTGAACAGTTACTGGCTTTGTCAGGACTATGCTGTTTCCTATCATGTTGACAGTTTGTAAGCATTGTCTGGCTAGGACTTGCATAAAACTCTAGGTATGTTTTGTGAAAGTTACTTCAATCATGTTGTATATGCCAAGTTAAATTTCCTTAGCAGTATGCTCAGAAAAAGCTGTCAGGCCATCCCAACATCATCCGCTACCTAACTGCTGCTGCCATCGACAAGTCTCAGTCTGGCCATGGCCGGAATGAGTATCTGGTTGTCACAGAACTCTGCACAGGTTTGTGTTGCCTTATCTGTCTGAAAATTCTTTTTGCCCATTCCTGGATTCTGCAAGCATTATCTTACTCAGTGTTTGTGTTTGGAATTTGATACTTAATTGGGAAAGACACTTAAATGTTCTTTTTATTTCGATTTATAGTTACATGATTATTATACTAATAAAATTGAGGAACTGATTGTATTTTCGGTGGCCTAGTTACTGTTGTAGCTGCAATTCTGCTCTGTGATGTTGGCTGGTTTAAGGCTATGTCCCCTGGTTCCCTGAAAGTGTCATTTATTGTGTGGTGCTTATGTTGTGTTTACCCTTCCTTCTTGGCACACTCCGGCTGCCTCTGCAGGTGGCAACATGGTGGACGTGCTGCGCCTGGCGGGCCGCGCTCTGCCCGCCGACCAGGTCTGCCAGATCATGTACCAGACGTGCAAGGCCGTCCAGCACCTGCACAGCCAGGAGCCGTGCGTGCTGCACCGCGACCTGAAGGTCGGTCGATCGGGGAGCACGGGGAGCTGCTACAGCACCGGGATGTCGTGAATGTGATGTCTGATAATATGCTATAACTGGCCTTAGTTAATAGCTTAATTGGGACTCTCATTCACAAGAAATTGTGCGGGTTGGAGCTTTCGAATTGTATTACAATTTTTCGTCAGCGTGTCGTAACCGATCTCGGGGTTATCGGCCTCAAAATGACCACTGGCCATAATTGTTTGGGGTGTTAGCAACAAAGAGTTGTGTGTTTGAGTGGTGTGATCTGTCTCTATATTGCGTGTTCATTTGCTCTAACTCTGGATCTGTCTCTATATTGCGTGTTCATTTGCTCTAACTCTGGATTGCTGCTACCTCAGATCGAGAACCTGCTGATCGGCGACGACGGTCTGATCAAGCTGTGCGACTTTGGCTCGGCCACCACTCAGATGCACTACCCGGACCCGTCTTGGTCGGCCATCCAGCGCTCTCTGCTGGAAGACGAGGTAATGGCGTGGTCATCCCGGCAATGCCTGCTGTCAGAGGACGGTCCTGTTCCCTCCCCTACCCCGCCTGTCGTACCGTCTCGCCGCTTCGCCCGGCACTGACCCTCCCCTCGGCGCCCGGCAGATGGCCAAGCACACGACGCCGATGTACCGGGCGCCCGAGATGCTCGACACGTGGAACAACCACCGGATCGACACGCAGGCCGACATCTGGGCGCTGGGCTGCGTACTCTACCTGCTCTGCTACAACCGGCACCCCTTCGAGGACTCGGCCAAGCTGCGCATCATCAACGGCAACTACACCATACCGGAGGGCGACACCAAGTACCAGCACTTCCACCAGCTGATCCGTGAGCTGCCACTTCATCTCCGCACTTCAGCTGATCAGCTGATCGGCCATACGCTGTATGAAAGAACAGTACCGCCTTTAGTGGGAGTTCAGTGAATGAATGGCGAATTCGGCTGATATCAAGGGATGCATTTTTGTTTCGTTTGAATTTGATACGATTCCATGAAATTTTAATTCACCTCAATCAAATGCTGATGCCACTGTAAATGAGAAAATGTTACTGAAATCTTGTGCATCGTTGGAAGTTGGAACCACACATTTTTTAGCTTTCCTGATGTGTTATCGTCGTTGAATCAGTCGAGCATTGACCATGTTTTCGGACGGCAGGCGGGATGCTGAAGGTGGACCCGGGCGAGCGTATGACGATCTCGGACGTTCTGGAGCGACTGGTGGCCATCGGAGAGTCGTTCGACCTGCCGCTCAAGGAGCCGCTTCACCTGAAAGGCGCCAAAATCGACACCTCCGGCGGTCCCGGTGAGAGCCGCGCCCACACATGGGTTTGATTCTATTTTTAATTGAGCTGTAATCGTTTTCATTCATATGTGGATTATAATTGTTACGCATTATTCTGAATATTTCCTGTTCTATCAGGTGGAGCGGGCGCTGCGGGGGCCCCGGTCCAGGGCAGCCCCCAGCCGGCGCGGGCCGCGCCCGCTCCGCCGCGGCCTGCCCAGCAGAGCGCGCCGCAGGGCTCTCCGGCCCGGCCGCCGCCCCCGCAGCAGCAGCAGCAGGCGCCGCCGGCCGCCGCCGGGGCCTCTGCCGGGTCCTCCGGCCAGGCCGCCGGACTGTTCTCGTCGCTCCGCGGTGGCGCCGGCAACCTGTTCAAAAACATCGTCGACACCTCCAAGAATGTCATGCAAACAGTGCAATCGTAAGTGAGGCTGGTGTTGGGAATACATCTGGATGAATGACCATCTTTGAACATATATGAACACGTCCTGAAAGGGGTTTAAAAAGCACCCCATCTTGTTTCTTATTCTTAATATCCTTGTTGGATTGTGTGATGGTTTTAATGTGTTTTTATTTTTAATGAAGTCTCATGTTATGTATTAGTAGCAATTGAGGACCGGATACCGTTTTGCTGTCTTTTACGGAATGGTATGCAGGGTGTCGTTTCGTTCGTTTTTTTTTCCGCCAGTGAGCGGAATGTGCGGCGGGCGGGGAACTTTCCTGGTTGGCTGGGACACGGTCGTGTTCAAGGTCGCCCGCTGATCGCGTTCCCCGCCCCGGCAGTGGGGGTGGTGGGGGCCCCGAGGATTGCGGATGATTTATCCTGAGTCTCAGCCTGATAGCGATCTGCAGTTGGCTGTTAAGTGCAATAGCACGTCGGCAGTATCGTGTCTTGTATTTGCCCCTAGTGAGTCACTTGTTGCTAACCGATGCTGGGACGTATCGATTTCAACTGCAGCGATTGAATGTCAGAGTCAGCGTAGTCACATATTCCATAAATGTATGTCTGTTGATTGATAACCGTGACATCTTCACTACTTTATCGTGTGTATCTGTGTGCCAGGTCGATGGGTAACCGTGACCTGGACATCAGCTACGTCACGTCTCGGCTGATCGTGATGTCGTACCCCGCCGAGGGCATCGAGTCCGCCTACCGGAATCACCTGGAGGACGTGAGGGGTGAGTGGGCCGAATGGACGGCGGCATTACTGAGCAATAGTGCCGGAGGGCGGCTGTTCCAGAACGCTACTGCCGGACGCTGGCCGTTCGCTAGTGTCTCGCGGTGGCTGTTCCTTGAGTAAAGTAGTGCCGGATGACGGCTGTGCCAGTGCGTTAGTGCCGGACGGCGGTTGTAGTCAGCCGAGGTGGGTGGTAGCACTGTCGGAATTCTGGTCGGTTTCAGCGATAGTCCTCTGCAGTTTCACCCTCTCGGACGGGGGCACTGGAGTGCGGTGAAATGTAACGGGGCGGAAAGTGAAATGATGAGATTGGGTGTGATTGTCTTGGCTGACCTGGCTGGTAATGTGTGTCGTTTTCTGAACAATGGTTCACTTGTGACAGTGCGTCGTCTTTGTTTGTCGCCCTCTGGCTTTCCGATAAACATCGTATTTCCCTTTGTGATCTAGGTACTTGCTTATCTTAAATATGTTTCCCTTTTATCACTTAACGTTAAATTTGTATGGTATCCTGCAGCCGTCTATGTGCATGTGTGTGTTTTTGTGTGTGTGTTCGCCGTGGCCGACCCGCCGACTGTAGAGTGAACTGTACTTGGTGTCCGGTCTCCCGTCCATGTATGTACCGTGCGTGTGACCTGTGTGTGTGTGTGCCCTCCACGGCTGACCCACTGACGCGTCTCGCCTCTGTGCCGGCCGGCGGCAGCGCTGCTCGACAGCCGACACCCGGGCCACTACTGTGTTTACAACATATCGGGACGCACCTACAACCCGGCCAAATTCCCCACCAAGGTAACCGGAGAGTGCGGGCCGCTGGGGCACGGCGGGCAGCGGACCGGTGTAGTGTGTGTGGCTGAGGGATGGGGGGTGTTGCGTTCTGCTCAAACAGAACATAGTGAGCCATGGCTGCGTGCATGTAACCTCAGAATAGATAAGAGGCCCATAACAGTAGCTGGCAGTCAAGCTGTTTCACTGATGATAGAATCATCGCATAACATACGAGTATTCTTTTCTTAGTGAGTGTTTTTACAATTTACTGTATCATCTTCTTAGCTGTTGTCTTTATAGTTTTTCCACTAAATGGATGCGTTTTACAATGCAGTTCATCGCTTAAAATTACTTTGCGCGATTTTGACGCCAACTTTTGTGGTAGGTTATGTTGAGTCTCGTTTTAAATTCCACAATTTCGTATCTATTGCGCCCCATGGTCTTCATCCGATCAATGTGGGGAGTCTGGGCTGCTATCATAAATCACGGCTTGGTCGGCTGGCTGTTCTCGGTGACGGGGCTGTAACGGTTCGTGATCCGACGCTGGACATTTTTCATTTCCACCGCTAGTCGCCACTGATTTATTAGAGGTCGCGTCGGGTTAGAATCCGATGCGACCGATGGATGGTTGCGAGGTGGGACAGATGGGACGGATTCAGGGACAGCCTGAGGTAGGGTTGCCACCTGATTGATCTGCTGTGTGTTAGTCTGGAGCATCATCTCATCATTGCCCGTGTTTCCCTTCTCCAGCGCGTTGTCTGATGCACTTCCTAGTCCGCAGAGTACCACCCGACATGATTTCTGTGCCCACAGGTGGTGGACAAGACGTGCCACCCGGGCCGAGCACCCACCATCTTCGCTCTGTACTGGCTTTGCCAGGACATGTACGCCTACCTCAGCAAGGACACACACAACGTCTGCGCAGTGCACTGCATCGTAAGGACGCCGACGCCTCAATTATTGTCCCTCATAAACGCCAGAAAACAACCGTTCCATTAGTAACATGACTGCTTAATGTCATTCGGGCCGCGCTGCAACCCCGACGAACCGGTAGATCGGCGAACTTTGCGTCGTAACCGGACGCCATTTGTCGACGGCTCTTGTCGTCGGGGAAATATTGACGTTTGTCGCGGTCCCGTGGACCCGCCCTGCGCCGCTGACCGTGACGCCCCGTCCGTGTCTGTCCCCAGGACGGCAAGGCCACGTCGGCCACCCTGCTGTCCTCCCTGTTCATGTTCTGCCAGTTCTTCACGTCGCCCGAGCAGGGTCTGAACCTGTTCGCCGTGAAGCGGTGTCCGCCCGGCCTGACGCCCTCCCAAATCAGGTCAGTGACGCGTACGCTGCACTGGCATGCTTGAGTTGTGGGCGAATCATCCTCTGCTCTAATGCACCATCTAGTTAGATTTCGACTAGTCTTGTTGATCATCTTTGATGTGTTTCAAAATTGTTTTGTGATGAAATTATTTAAATTGTATGAATAAATACATAGGTATTTTAACCCGAGCCCGGCACTTCGCCTCATTACTGTTGCGCTCGAGGTTAATCAATTCATATCGTCGCGACTTTTACATAATTAAATGCAGGATTCATAATACTATGAAGCAGTGTTGTGTTCCTAGAATCAAATCATGCAAATTATGCAAATAGCTAGCTCGCCCATTGGAATTGCAATTTCTGTTCCTCGGGTTTGGTCGACGAGCGCAATATCTATGTGAGTACGATTTCACGCCGACGCGTCCTCGGCAGTTGCCCGAGGCGCCCACTTCGTCTGCCGTTGTAATTCGCACCCCTGCCTCGCCAATCGACGGCAGGTACCTGGGCTACATGCGCCGTATGGTGGTCGGGCCGGAGCCCAAGGTGCCGCACCTCCAGCCCGTGACGCTCACCTCCATCACGCTGCAGCCGGTGCCGCTCTTCACCAAACTCAGGTCAGTCAGACTCGCTGTTCGACAGCCGCCGCCGGTCTGGTGAGCGGTCTCCGGCGGCCGCGATACGGCGATAGGTGTTTTTCATTCGTAACCTCAAACTCGCTTTCAAATTCATTTGTCGATTTGCCTGTTCTTGTTTTAATTCGTTCGGCCGATTCGCTGGCCCGCGTGCCGATCGGTTTAGTCGTTTCTCGCGGTTCTCTTTCTGCCGTGGTCTCTGGGGTGCGGGTAGTCGTGGCGCGTGTGCCGCCGATGGGTCGTCGCGCCGGTCCGTCCAGCCTGACGCGGCCGCGCCGCTCAGGCTCCCCGCTCTGGCCTGGCCGCAGCCGCGTCCTGGGCGCCTTCTGGTCCAGTGTCGAGGGCCACCCGTTCGAGTACATGGGCCCGGCGCTGTACGAGGAGATGACCTATGCCGAGCAGATGCATTCGTGAGTGCGCCGCCTCTCCCGCTCTGTCCGCCTCCTCCGCCCCTCTTTGGGGCGTAGTCTGCCGTGCCGTGCCGTGCTGTGAGCCCTGTCCGCCCTGCCAGCCTCGCCGCCTCGTTCGCAGCAGAGAGCCGGCCTGAGTGCTAGTCCTGTCCGCAGCAGCTGGGCGCGCCCCGCCGTGCCCGCCGTGCTAGCAGCGCTAGATCCCCGTGTGCACCCTGTGGCTTGTGAGGATTGTGGAGTGGAGCTGGTGGTTCGCACCTGGGTGGGGTGCGCACTGCGCTCACTCTGGGACACCCGTTACTGGGGTGATGCTGGATCTCAATGGTGTTTTAGCACCGGTGGCTAAGCCCTCTGCAGGGTTAAGACCACGCCATGTCATTTGAATATATCCTGTTGAAATGTCCAGCTTTTCTGCGTGGGTCGCTGTTTGTCGTTGAATTTATCACTGTCGACTGTCGACTCGAGTTTATCAACATCATAAGAATTAATTCATACAGTTATACAGGGTGTCCAGAAAAAAAAAAGATACTACGAAAATTAAGTCGCATTCATTAACGCACGTGCCGATTTTGTTCCAACTTCGTGTGCTCATAGTGCAAGATTTGGCAAAACTCATGAGCACTGTAATGCGTCGTCGGAAAGTTGTCTGTCTGCCCTCCGAGATGGTCAACATGACCATCAGTCACCTGCAGACTGTGCTAGTGCTGGAGCTGATCCGCCGGAAGGCCGCTCACATTGAGTATCTACTTTGAGGAGCTGCCGCGACTAACCAAAGAGTTCATATGCCATGTGGCGCCTGCTGTCTGTTTTGCCATATTTTTGCGAATACAAGCATGTGCCATTTTAAAATGTAAGGTGTTTATTTTCGGAATTACAGCAAAAAATAATAGTATCCGTTTTTTCTGGACACCCTGTATTTAACCACTCAAAATTGCAAGGCAACCGGCACGGCCCGGTCCAGATACCACAACCGTATTAGCTTTGATAACAAGTTTTTCGTTACAGTCTTGCTATTGCTAATAGCTTTATTAGCAAGACATGGAGGAAAACGCCATGTCGGAGCAAGACGCAAGACATGGAGGCGCCAGTATCACCTCAATTACCAAGCCAATTTACTATATCACCATCTATTACAGAGCGGCCAGATCGCTTCAGTGATATCATCCGATCAAGTTTTTCAGATCCTTGATCGTCAAAAGGGCGATCTCTCTGGTCCTCCTTCCGCCTCAGTTCGGTACACCCGGTCATGTTGGGGCTATTTCCAGTCTGCAAGTGTTGTGTGTGTTGTTTTGTGTTAACACGTCGGTCAGATGACTGGTGCACTCATTATTCAGCCAGCAGTTGATAACAACTGGCTTGGGGGTCTTTCTGGCATGGTCGTATCGTACGATATTTGGGGGATATTGTGTTAGCTTGCGGTACCGTGGTAAGGGACACCAGTTTGAGGGGCTCCGGGTACATACTTTCGACAGCACAGATAAAACACGACTAACACTCTAACAATATTCGTCTTTGCTTACCTACGATGCAAACCCAAGCCCACTTATGTAAATTTGTATTTTTCGCGTGTTGTGTTTTATAAATGATTGTATTTAAATTGACTACCCTAATAAACTAGCTGCTTGAAGGGCTTTCGATTGCTTGTTTTTGCTTGAACTGCCAGTTGCTAATTCAATCCTAAACATTGCTTCTGCAGCCAGTATTTTCCTTCTCTTTTCTTCATCTCTGCAGCTTTGTGGCTTCACGTGCAAAATAGCGTTCGACCATCATTTTATCCCACATGCTTCTGGTATGTTTATGGGTTTTCAGATGTATAGTATCTGACAATATTTTGAGACGATCGGTTTCTGCTGTGGGTAAATGTCCTGAGCCAGAGCCCGGTGTGGAGCCCCCGGTCCGTCGGCCTGTGCCGGCCGTCCCTCTGAGTTGGCTCGCTGCTCCGCAGGGACGGCTGCCGTCCGTACGTGGAGATCTGGCAGGGAGGCGAGATCATCGTCAGCACGCTACAGGACTACGAGAACCTGCGCCACTTCAACCCGGCAGACAGGAAGGTGAGGTTACGGGCAGCGCCGGACGACGAGGGAGGCACCAGGTGACGACTGAGGCGGGCGGCCGGTTCGGTATCGTCCTCCGTCTCCAATTCTTGCCAGTAGTAGCCCCAGTAGTGTATGGGTTTCTGTACTCAGTATACTCTGTACCGAACAGGTCGTGCTGCCGGTCAACTTCAGCCTGTGTGCCGCGCTGTCGCTTGTATGAGTCCTCTACACTCACAACGCTCTGTGCCGGACAGGTGGTGCTGCCCGTCAACCTCAGCCTGTGTGCCGCAATGTATGAGTCCTCTGTACTCAGTACAGACTACAGACTAGTACTGTAATCAGTACTCCCCGTGCCGGACAGGTGGTGCTGCCCGTCAACCTCAGCCTGTGCGGCGACGTGACGGTGGTGGTGTACCACGCGCGCCGCGTCATGGGCCGCGTCACGGGCGTGCGCATCGCCCAGCTGCAGTTCCACACCGGCTTCGTGGACGAGGAGGAGACCAGCATCCGCTTCGCCAGGTGAGCCGTGGTTGGTGCGTGAGCGTGAAACGGCGAGGCAGCACCGCGGGTCACTGGGCAATGCTTTGTTGGTTATCGTAATTACTTTATAATGACTGTGTGGGATTGTGTAAAGAGGGCTTGTTCTAGACATGGTAGAAACATCATTCGTGCCTTTGCAGCGTGGCAGTGCCTGAACAATGACCTAAACAAATCCATGAACTGCTCGTGTAGAGGTTTCATTTAATTGTTAAATACGCATTTCCACCCCACCCCTACCCGGCCGCCTCCCCCGTATCTGTGCGTCTGACGGCTCCCTCCCCGGCCGCAGGTGTGAGCTGGACGACGTGACCGAGCCGGACCGGTACCCGCCGCAGTTCGTCACCACCGTCAACGTGTTCGTCTCGGACACGGAGAAACAGGCGCGCTTCCCGCTACCCTGGAGCGGCGCCCGGCCGGCCGACAACACGCCCGACGTGCTGTTCGCCAACCGCACGGAGATGGAGGAGACCCTGGACAGATTCGGTCAGTGGCGCAGCCTCCGGGAACGTATTTCGTTTGGGGTTTCATACATGAATATAACAAGGTTACAAGTTTGTTATGTATACGCAACACAACTGAGCTGAGCGATGACCGCAATATAGTTCTTTACCTTTAGGGAATTACTCATATACTGACGTTAGTTCGTCATGGTCATGAGGTAGTTCGAAAAAAATGAGTCCACGTTCTTGTTAGACTTAGTGGAATGTGGACTGGAGTACACCTCTGCCGTGCAAAGGCAAAAACCATTATGTCGGGTCAGAGGCCATTACCTCAGGTCAGAGGTCACCGAAACATAATGGATTTTGCCTTTATACGGCAGACCTGCTGGAGACTTGGCCTGTTGTTTTTACTGAAGTGTGGCGCTGAAGATTCTGATGCATTAGCGCTGACCGCTCTGAGCAGTTGCTGATTGTGTCCCCGTTCTCCGGACAGCCGATGTTCGTGAGATGGCGCTGGGCCGGCCGGCGCGGCCGCCACCCCCGGCCCGTCCGCCGCCGCCGGGCACAGCCGCGGCGCCCTCTTCCAGTCCGGGCCCGCAGCGGAGGCCGCCAGCCGACATCATCTCCGGCCTCAATTGGCAGAAACCGGAGCAGGTACTGTTGGCCAGCTTCTTATACACAACACGTCCTCATATCGAGCCTAACCTGGCAGAAATCCAAACAGGTACCGTGTTCTTACCTACCACACCTTAGCTCCGGCCTCAACTAGCAGAAACCCGAACAGGTACGAAGCGCTGGATCACTTATCGATCCTCATCTCCAGCCTTAGCTGGCAGAAACCCGAACAGGTAAATGGAGCGTTCTCTGATCCTTAACTACTCATTCCGTCTTCAGCCTCAGCTAGTGAAAAGCTAAGCAGTTGTACTTTCGTCTGTGTGATGTCCAGGTCCATCCTTATCTGCCACACCGCACATTCAGTTTAGCGTGTCTGCCGTTGTGTTAGAAGTGAAGGGAGCGAGTCTGACAGTGTTTCCGATCCCGCCCGGCAGGGGGGCATGCTGTGTTGTGGCGTCAGTAGCTGAGTGTGACATTGTTTCCGATCCGGGCCGGCAGGTGGCAGCGCCGACAGAGCTATCGGACGACGAGGAGCCTCCGGAGCTGCCGCCGCGGAGCCGGCCCCCCGAGCAGGCGCTGCTCGACCTGGGCACCTCCACCGACGGCGCCGCCCCCACCCAGACCGAGCAGGTCAGCCAGGGCATCGACCTGCTGGGCCTGGGAGAGACGGCTGCAACAGCGGCCGGCGCCGCCGCCCAGCCGCCGCCGCCGTCCAATGTGGACCTGCTGTTCGGCGGCGGCCCGCCCGCCGCCGACCCCGCCCCCGCTCCGGCTGCACCGACCACCTCTTCCAACATGTTCGATCCGTTCGGACTCAACACGCCGGCACCCAACCTGGCGCCGCCCGCGCAGGTGAGCATGCGTTCGCTAAATCAGTGTCGTCGTACAATAGATGAACTTGATAAACATCCTTAGCAGCAAAATCTGTCGGTGGTAGTTTCTGACCAGTGTTCTATTTAGCGTTGCTTTTGTGCTGCTGCCATGATTTAACGCAAAATGATTCTGCCACGCTCTGTCACGGACCGTCACGGCGTCACTCTGCCTCTGTCATGCCTTCTGCTATCCCAGCAGCTAACCCGTCCCCGCTTCGCGTCCGACAGGCGTCTCCGCTGCACCAGTCGTCGAGCACGGGCAACTTCCGTCAGCAGGCGGCCGCCGACGGTGACCTGATGGGCGACTGGGGCAGCACGCTGACGGCGCCGGCCGCCAGCGCCATGCACCGGAACGCGTCGCAGCCGAACCTGCGCACGGCCGCCGGCCAGCCGCCACTCCAGCAGCAGCAGTCGCCCGTCCGGGATCCTTTCGCCGACCTCGGTCAGTGGACGGGGGACGGAGAGAACGGGGCGGGGACGGGAACTAGGCGGGAGGGGACTAGGGTTGTGTCTACGCTAGTGCTTCCTTTGCGCAAGCTAGAACAACTTGCTTGGTCGTAGATTTTGCCTCGGCTTTCGGCCATACCGATAGGACTTCGCTCTCCTCGATGGACTGCTATTTTGTGCCAGCATTTGGTGTGCTCTTGCCGCCTGACCTGTTGCGTGATCCGTGTGTCCAGGTAACCTGGGCGGAGCGCGCGGCCCGACGCCCACCTGGGGCCAGCCGTCGCCGGCGGGCTCGCCACACCACGCGGCCCGTCCGCCGCGGCCGGCCGGGACAGCCACCAACGGCCAGCCGGGCGGCTGGGCCGGGGCTCAGCCGCCGCAGCAGCCGGCCGCCGGGCCCGCCCGACCCAACTACTCGCGCAGCGCCTTCGACGCGGCGAACAAACCCGACGACGGTCAGTGGAAGGATGGAGGATATGGGGAGGGGAAAGGCTAGGGCTAGGGTCAGGTAGAGGTTAGCCGAGTCGCCGCGCCGGCCGACGCTCGCCGAAGACATGATACTGCAGGGTCGGGTGGCGAGTGCTCGGCGCCGACTGGCGAGCCGGCGACGGCCAGGGTTAGTTCTCAGGTGGGGCAGGAGCGGAGTTGCTGTGTTAAATAGACGGGCATTACGCGAGTATGGTTTACTCCCTAAGCTGATCCGGCTGACACGAGGTGACTATGTATTCTGTGGTTTTCACACCTGCAGCAAGTGTGCAATGTGTGCCATTCGCTCCGCGTTCCCCGGTCTGTGAGCGGCGGCGCCTTTTGACGGCGCCGTTCTGTTCTGTGCAGCGACCGGGACCGGCGGGCGGCAGAAGGTCTCGGCCGACACCTTCGGGGACCTGCTCGGCTCCCAGGGGTTCAACTTCACACCCAAACAGGACGCCGGCCCAAAGACCATCAACGAAATGAAGAAGGCCGACATGGCCAAGGAGATGGACCCCGACAAGCTGAAGGTGCGTGTGATCGGGAGGGATATTAGGAGTTGTTACACTCACTGTTTTGGTTCTAAATGTATACGGTTATCCGTGCTTTTGACTGTCGGTGAACATGGGTGTGGGGGTATATTTTTTCCACGTGATTGATATTTGTGAATCACTTTTGTAGTGGGTCCGTCGGATAGTAACTGTGGTCTGAGCACCCATCCAATATCTGACGGTCACTGCTCTGCTCTCAGATTGTGAACTGGACCGAGGGCAAGCAGCGCAACATCCGCGCGCTGCTGTGCAGCATGCACAAGGTGATCTGGGACGGCTGCCGGTGGCAGGAGTGCCAGATGAACCAGCTCGTCACGCCCACGCACGTCAAAAAGATGTACCGCAAGGCCTGTCTGGCGGTACATCCAGACAAGGTGAGACGGGATGTGGGGCTGGACAGGGACACGAGTGGTCCCTCCAGACGAGGCGAGGGATCGGTTGAAATTGCCGTAAAGACAGTGTGGCGGTACAGAAAACATGTGTGCAGTTTGCACTTACGGTGAGATATAATGTCACTAGTCATACATTCTGATAGCAAAAAGTGTCACAAACGAGCCCACCTAGCCCGCGTTGAAACGGTATTGGGTGATGATACGAAGAAGGCTGAGAGTACAATGCATACCATTGTTGAAATTCCACTTAATATTTGCTTGTCATGGTAGGTGGCTGTTCCGCACTGTACAGACCGCTGGCTTTGTCGCTTATCACATCCATATGTTAATGGCAACACTGTATTCACAGCCGTTTTTTTTACAGCAAACTGGCTCGGAGAACGAAAAGATGGCCAAGCTGATATTTATGGAGCTGAACGACGCGTACTCCGAGTTTGAGAACGACGAGACGCAGCAGAATCTGTTCGGCCACTAGTCGGCGCCGCCGCCGGCCGTCGCAGTGGTGCGTAGAGCCTAGTGCAGTGTAGCGGGCCGCCGAGTGGCCTTCGGGCCCCCGGCGCGCTCATTTTGTGATATACGAGCGTCATCTCTCAGTCATTATCGTTGTTTTAGAGATTGTTTCTGACCATTGCCGAGGTTGTTATGTATGGGTGTGCGCGGCGCGGCGGGGCGGGCCTGTACCAGCGGCAGTATTCACTGTACTCCAGAGCAGTCGCCACCATCATTCCAGCCTGTGTTCGAGCCGTGACTGAGGGCAGGCCGGTCGGGTCCACTGGCTGCAGGGGAGAGACCTGCCCATCTGAGGAGAGGACCCACCCCGTCTGCAGGGGGAGGGCCCACTCCGTCAGAGGAGAGGGCCCACCCCGTCAGAGAAGAGGGCCCAGCCCGTCAGCTGGGAGGCCGGTCGCGCTGCGGGCGGTTCCTCGCGTGGTCGGCTCTGTTAATCGATGGATAGTTGATGGCCGTGTTGTCGACTCGAGACGTGGTTATTTGTTTTATATAGATTATTTACCGTGTGTAGCGTGGTGCCGTCGCGAGCTGTGTAGCGCCGCGGCCCGACAGATGTACGGTGATCCGTTGGCAAACTATTCAGCAATTCCATTGTGTTGTAGCAAGTGCGGGGCGGGCGAGAAACACGGAGCTTGTGCGGGTTGTGTTACCTCGTTGGAGGTCACTGAAGTGATCAGACCCCTGACCATCGACGCCCAGAGAACCCCTTCGCGGGACCCGGGACGGAATCGCGCCCCTCCTCTCCTCGGCAGCAGCTGTTATGCACGACGCCAGTCGCCAGCAGTGAGCGCAGGCGCTGCATATCCGCGTATACGGGGCACAGAGGGTGACCGTAGGACCAGTCACAATAATCGTCTGTCGCCACGGCGATCGGAGTCGTGGCTATGTAGGAGTGAAAGGCGGTGTGCGGACGGACGAATGTTGTATGTGACGAGCGGACGGCGTGCGGTGTGGATGTGACGTGCGGCGCAGCTCCGCCAGCTATCCTCTCGCTGAACGGCTTCAGTGCTGTCCCTCACCGTCTCTGTGAACTCGCCTGGCGCGGCGCAACTCCCAATAACGGCACACGGCGTCGGTGACCTGTATTTGGCGCAGCCGTCGCCGGTAGCTAGCGTCTCTATCTCTGTGTGGTATGTAGACAGTGGCCCATCCTCGTGACACGTCCCTGAAATATACCGTATGAGCAGCGCACGCCTCTCGCCACACACCTGGCGCCGGGGCCTGCCCACCAGCGGGCCGGCGTGGTCCGGACTCTCCTACAGAGGACATTGTCCGCGACGACCTTCAGTAATCACTGCACTGATGGGACATTATTGGTGGCGACACCGCCGCTCGGTCGTCCAGGCGTCACCTGGCTGCCGGACGGTACAGCTGCCAGGCGGTGTGGGCGGATCGCCATGTCCTGTCAGTCGAGCGTCTCCGCCCACTCCGTGCCACCTCCAAGACTGGAAGGCTGACCGGGAACACTGCCACGGCAGATAGAGCTGTCCAGTGTCCATGTCTTCTGACTGGTGATGAAGCCGGTGGAATGTAGCTCAGAACACTGCAACTCACTGCATTGCAGTCTCACATGCGCACAAGTGAAATCACAGATCCCACTGTCGACGGGCCGACAGTCACGGTCCGTCAGCGGGGACCCCGGTTCGACTTTGGGCTTAGTCACTGTTAGCTTCACCACAGTGCGATAGCGTGTTGGCTGTGAACTGTATGGGCAGGCGGACGGTGAGATCATGTCAGTCCTGCCGCCCTCAGCCACATTCCAGTATCCGGAGTCCATGGTGTTTGGACGTCGACCCAATACAGGGCCTGGCCCAGTACAGTTCATATCACTCTCTCCCCCCCCCCCCCCCCCGCCTCGCAGTGGTCTCTGCCCTCGGCGGCCACTAGGCGATGTTGGAGGTGGTCTTCTCCAGGTAGGCGAGGTGTCCGTGCAGAGGGCCGCCCTGGTGGCCGGGGAACGGCGGCGCCGGGCCGCGCGCCATGTAGCCGCCCGGTCCCATTGGACGGTACTGCTGCAGTCCCGGCGGCAGGCCCGCAGAGCCCGGCGTCGGCACACGCTGGGAAAACGGGAACGGTCGTCAGCCGGCATAAAATAGCTGACTAAAGTTACACTCTGGCGGCCATTATCGTCTGTCGTACTTTACCACCGTGCATACCTAAACTATCACTTTCCTGGGGAACTAGACGTCAGTCACAATGAACGGTGGGTACCAGGCTGCCGGCTCAGTGCAACCCGACCTAGCCTCAACCCGCTGCCACCCGATTTCTGGCCTCGTCTCGTTCCGCTGCATCCCGCCCAGTGCCGACCCGCCTATCGCGCTGCCATCCCCGCCGCTGGTCCTCTGCTCCCCTCCCCACCGGCCCACTGCTACCCTCTCGGCCGGCCCCGCTGGTGCCCTGCCCGCCGTCCGTTTGTACCTGGCCGTCCTGCAGCTGCGGGGGCAGGTCGGCCGGCCCGCGCGGGTGCTGCACCTCTGCCAGAGTGCTCTTCCAGAAGGCGATCTTATCCTGGGTCTTCTTGATGAGCTCGTCCTTCCGTGCCAGCTCGGCCTTCAGGTCCAACGTGTCCTGAGCAGTACAGAGAGGAAGGTGACGCGGGGCCACAAACAACAGCGAGCCCTGACCGGCGATACGGCTAGAGGGGCACATACAGGGTCACAAACGGGGCAGTCAGCTCACCCTAACCGACAGAAAGCGAGGAACGATTAGTTAGGGCAATAAAATGGCGGCATGCCCCGACCGACACGCGGTACGGCGCAGGTGACGGCGCAAGGGGTCGCGATGGGATGTGCTTAGCGAGATCGAGTTCGGCCCCTCTGACGTACGCACACTGCTCACCGGTCTAGATCCAAACTCAGCCATGGGACTGGACGGGCTGCACCCAAGACTGTTGAGGTCTTGTGCCAATACCCTCATCAGTCCCTTGTATATTATCTTCCGTCGGTCCCTTCTAGAGGGGAAGCTTCCTCGAGCCTGGAAGTCATCACTGATTGTGCCTATCTTTAAGAAAGGCTCCCGTCACGACCCTCAGAACTACAGGCCGGTTGCACTGACGTCAGTTGCTTGTAAGAGTCTTGAGAGATTGATCTTCCGTGGACTTTATGATTACTTCTGCGAAAATGCGATTCTCTCTGAGGAACAGTTTAGTTTCCGTCCAGGTCGCTCCACGGAGGACCAGCTGATTCTCACTTATGATGAAATCACTAGCGCGCTTGACTGTGGCCATCCTGTCGACCTCATCATGTTCGATTTCTCGAAAGCATTCGACGTGGTTTGTCATGCCATCCTCCTCGAGAAGCTAAGACTGATCGCTGTGCAGGGAAGGCTTCTTGACTGGCTGTATGATTTCTTGGTGGGAAGAGAAATGCAAGTGCTGGTTAAAGACACGACAAGCAAGCCAACAGAGGTGCTGAGTGGTGTACCACAGGGCTCCGTTCTAGGACCGATTTTGTTCCTATTGTACATAAATAACATCGCTTCAACTTTGACGAGTAGCTACAAGATATTCGCGGATGATTTGAAAGTGTATATGAAGATGGACAGAGAAGCCCCTCTGTCTACAGCGGAAGATCTCCAGAGGGACATCGACCTACTGTACGACACAGCCACATCGTGGGGGCTGGCGCTTAACCTACGAAAGTGCGCTGTGCTCCATTTTCGGCGCCGATATCACGCCCAGTCCATCATTTCATACACATTGAATGGCACCGAAATACCGCACGTTTCGGCCTACACTGATCTGGGCGTCGCCGTGGATGACAGTTTAAAATTCCACGAGCACTGTGCCCTTGCTGCGAGAAAGGCTGGGGGCGTTGTCCATAACTTTCTTAGATCTACTCGCTGCCGATCACCTGACTTCATCAGGCGCGGATACAAGGGGGGGGGCCATGGGGGCCATGGCCCCCCCCCTTGGCCGATTTTTTCAAAAATAAAATAAAAAGTTAAAAAGTTAAAAAGCTGAAAAGGGGGCCTCCTGAAAATAAAGTGGCCGAAATCCGATGAGTTTTTTTTAACCTACCCACTTAGTTATTTCTTAGAAGACTAGCTGAGAAGACTTCTTTGTTAGAAGATTGGTAAAGCTTTTCATAACTTGGAGGTCTCTTATACTCACAGAAATGACCACTTTTACAGGGCCTCCTAACCTGCACAGAGGGCCTCCAAGCCTGCACAGATGTTGAGATGTTGCCTGAACAGCTAGATAAGCTCAATAGACGCAGTTTTTTTTTGGGGGGGGGGCCCAACAAGTGGGAAGATGGGGCCTCCAACAGGTGGGATTATGGGGGGGGGCCTCCTGGTTTCTAATGGCCCCTCCCTTGGAGATTTTCTGGATCCGCCCCTGGACTTCATGATGTTCATTTGGAAGACACACATACGGCCCATTATTGAGTACGCTTCATCTGTGTGGAACAGTGGATATGTTCAAGATCTCAAGAAGTTAGAGAAAATCCAGAGACTATGGACGCGTAACATTCTGGGCCTCAAAGATACGTGCTATGGTGACTTTCTGTGCAGGGTCGCCTTCTTCGTGCTGATATTTTGAAGTGCTGGAAAATATTTCATGGACACTGTCACATCTCGCCGGAGGATTTGTGGAGTCTGGAAGTAAATGGAAGAACACGTGGTCACAGACACAAGATCAAGCTCATCCGCGCGCATGTTGACGCGAGGTCCAGATACTTCACACACAGAGTCGTCAAAGAATGGAATAGCCTCCCGGGGTGGCTAGTGCAAGAAACCTCCCTGCAGAAATTCAAAGGAGGACTCGCAGAGGTGTTGGGCGCGAAACTTTACGATTACTCAGTCTAATGTTGCTACGTTATATGACAGATTACGATCGGTATAATGTCAAACCATCGGATCCCCCCCCCATGGTATGCGCCCTGTTCTTAACAAGCAAGGACAGGGTCAGATGCGCCATGGAGCTCCAATCAGTCATTCACCACTTGCCTCCTGATTCCTGCATTCCCACCATGCCTGGCCTTCCTTCACATGTCATTCACCCATTTTGTTTGCGGATGAGACAGCATTTGCATTGCACTTCACAGCCGTTTCTCTCTCTTTCTTTCTTTCTTTGTGAAGCATTAGCACCAACTACGAGTCGAGTTTGTCGACTTGTCGAGTTTCCACAACAATTCACATGCAGACGCACAACACCAGTTCCCTGACTCAAGGCCCACCCACTGGCCCCAGCTTGTGTCCAACTATATTCTTTGGAATTGGCGCGTCTCTGAACGACTTGGGTTTCCCTCCTTCTCACTCCCCTCCTAAGAGCAAGGCTGAGGAAACCCAACAGGTGAGTTAAACAGGTGAGTGCTCCTGCCCGCTCGCGCCCCACCCCTCCCTGCTCACCTCCTTGATGATCCAGTCAGGCCGGTGAGCCGAGAGCAGCAGCCTCTTCTGCAGGAAACTCTGGTCCACCTGACGAGCGCAGTCCATGAACTGCAGCACGGACGCCTCCGCGTGCGAGCGGATGTCCTCCCGGTCCTGGGTATTGAAGTTATCCTCCTTGATGAGGATGCTGAAGCAATTCTAAAAAGAGGCATAAGTGTTACAAATAGCCACATTACTCATCATATGCAAGCGCGCACAGTACTTTTGCATGGTTTGGGTGTCAAAACTTCCTTAGCTATAAAATATGTAGCAACATAAATTGAAACTCAAAGGAAACTAGCTTCCCTCCATCATGGTGCCATGTACGAATCTCGGAAACAATTACCATGTTTAACAGCTGTCAAACAGAAAATATTACCCTTCTTATAGACTTGAACATAATGTCAAAATGATTATAAAACAAAGTGAAATGAAGTGTGTACGTTGCAATATACATTATACACTCATGTATGAAAAATGAAAATGTCATGCCTTGTTGGTGAAACAAGTACAACTCAACAGTATCACATAAAAATGATAAAACAACCATTAGAAAAGCATGAAGTTCACCTGAAAAGCTGCTTCCAAGTTGTCTATAAGCATATTTGGGCCATTGGCTGAAGAACTTGTCCCATTCTCAGAAGAAGCCATTTGTATATTGTTTCAGTTTTTAACTGTGAAAAAGAAATATCATCATAATTCATGAAACATTTGTAGCTAGGCCCGCATGAATCAATATACAAATGTCATTTTAAAAAGTTTACTTTATCATTGACTAAAAGCACAGAAGATGAATAATTGTTAATGACTGAAATATC